CCCCCCCCCCATCTAAATTTTGCACATCACATGACTGAAACCCAGCAATTAAAAGATGTCAAAAAGGGAAGACTTGTCCACCCAGCTTTGCATGTTGGAACCAGAGTCTGACACTAATCAATAAAAAAAGGACCAGAGTCTGACCCAGAACCAGAGAAGAATTAAAGTGCCTGAGACATGCTTATACTTCAAATATAAAAAGTCAAAGAAAACATATTTATATTTAAGAAAATTAGCCCAATCCACATAATTTTACCCATTTTGTCTCATAACTGGCATATTTTCTCTTGAATTTGGCTCAGCAAAGTGAAACAGGAAAGGGAACTCTTTAAGAAAAGAAACTCTCTAGTCTTTGTTTATTGAAACAATCTTATTTAAACTCTTCTTCAACTCTGATTCTTCACTAATCATTGTAGCATTGCTCTGTTTACATGCAGACATTCCCATTTGACATCACTTCTTGTTTCTTCACATGGAAATATCTCAACAAATGTTCATCTCACTGGCGTGAAATTTGTTTTGCAATATGTTGTCAGTGTTCTCTTTCCAAAAATGCATTCACATTTATTACAAAAATTTGATGTCACAGGCACTTTAAGACAAGTAAATTGTAGTTGGTGAGTCCAGACCTTATATGGTAATTCCATCGCAAATAATTTGACATAATAGGTTCGTCGAAAATGTCATAGAAAACCGAGAAAATAGAACAGGCTGAAAAATATGATCCCAAACAGAAAATAAAGATATCTTTGCAGCACCAGGAGAAACTAAATTCAACTTTTCTGCCTCCTAGAGACTCCAAGTCCACAACAAAATGCATTCAACAGCAAAAAAAGTGGATTTTGCAGGATATGTCCCCTTTAAAGGGAACTTTCAAGTGACTGAAGGTCTGAACAGAGAGGTCAGATCAATAATCTACCATATGTTCTCATTTATTTACATTTTTAATCTTTTACCTTTAGATTGCCAGGCGCCGTCCTCCTGGCTGGTCACCCCTCAGGGAGGCTCTGCTGCCCCCTGCCTCCAGTCCTCCACCTTCACAGTCGCCTCCGGAGATGCAGCCAGCCACCAATGCTCCCGCTAAAGTAGACTCATCCGAGGAGGACACCACAGCCTCGGCCTCCCCCAGTGTGAATGACCACCCTTTCCACTGCCCCTCCAAACCCTGGAAACCTTTCAAACGAGTTCACAAACCAGCAGCGCCGCCGGCAGAGGGAGCCTTCAGCGATAGAGACCTGCTGTCCACTTAATTCTATTCAGATGTGATCTGTTGTTCTCCTAACAGGCCTGCAGATGTTTAGGTGTTTGTCTTGCACACTTGCCCTGTATGATAATATGGATATTTTTCAAGAATGGTTATCCAGATGAAATTTTGTTTACATGCAAATCAATCAAGTAACATAGAAGGTTATTATGAGTTTTTGGCTCTCCAGCTCCAACAAAAGGGAAAGACAATGAAAAAAAGACTGAACAAAAGAGATATAACTCAATAAAAGCTTAATTACTTGTTCGTTGAAAAAGTTGTTTTCTTACATAAAATGAAAAGGGGTTTTCTCAAGGAGGGAGGGAAGGCAACTGAAATCTCATATTAGAAATAAAAGCATGTTTAGTGTTGTAGTTTTAAGTTGTTGTTGTTGTTTTTACATCCAATTGGTGATGAAGATGCAGATTTCATCCTGTCCTCAAAAAGTTCATGAGCTTCTCCGACATTTTTGAAAATCCAGTCAAATTCATCAAAAGCTGAAATAAAATAAGACACAACACGTTTCAAACATAACATCCAAAGGAGTGATGTAGCAGTGACATACTTTAAAATAAGAATTTTCACGCATTGGGGAAAACCTACGAAACTTTCTAGCATCTATAATTAAAAATTTCACCTAAGGCTTTTGTGTTAAACTGGGGGAAGAGAGGGTGGGGGTGCTGTATGGGGTTATATGGAGTCCTTGAAGGGACATGGGGAAAAGAAGAAAAAAGAATCCTGAGAAAATTTCTTAGGACCTTGAGAAACTTTCTCAGGATCCCAACTTACTTTCTCAGGGTCTCGAGAAACTTTTTCAGGATCCCGACTTCCTTTCTTAGGATCCTGAGAAAGTAAGTCAGGATCTGTTTTTATTTGGTTTTTCCCTATATGTCCCCTTATGGGTTCCGTAGTGTGCCAATTGCAAAATAAAATGTTAAAAAATTCCACAAACATATATGTGACCTACCCATCACATCGAAAYGAGGATTAAGACTAAAAGTTGTATGTGGAGAAATAGGCAGATATAGTTTTGATTAAACACTTGCAAAGATTACAGTTTGTCAAAATATAACAAATAAATGTGTTATCAATGTATCATTTCAATGAACTGTCTGAAATATTATCCTAATAACTTTTGAAGCACCTTTTTGAGCATATCCCAGGAGGATATTCAGTTCTTGGAAATCTTAAAGGGCACCATACGTCAAAACGAGCATGGCCACATGGAGATGCCTCTTCCCTTCAAATCACGTCCAGATCTACCAGATAACAAAAGGCTTGCCTTGGTGCGAYTGAGACATCTGAAAAGAAAACTAGACAAAAATCCTACATTTAAAGAGGACTGTGTAAAGTTTATGGACAATGTACTCAGGGATGGAGAAGCGGAGAAAGCAAGTGAAGAACCAGAACCAGGATGTGCATGGTACATACCTCACCATGCGTCTACCATCCTCGGAAACCGGGCAAGATCAGGGTAGTTTTTGACTGCTCTGCCAAGTATGAAGGCACTGCTCTAAACGACCATCTCCTGACAGGACCAGACTTGAAAAATGGATTGACTGGAGTTCTCTGTCGATTTTGTAGACAACCAGTGGCGGTCATGTGTGACATGGAGAAAATGTTTCACAGATTCCACATCAGCAGAGAAGACAGAGATTACTTACACTTCCTGTGGTGGGAAGATGGTGATACGAACACAGAGCCAAAAGAATACCGTATGAAAATTCACCTGTTAGGAGCATCTTCATCCCCAGGCTGTGCTAACTACAGATTAAAACACCTTGCCAGCCAAAATGAAAGTGAGTATCCTTCAGCAGCAGACTTCATCAGGAAACATTTTTATATTGATGATGGCCATGTCAGTCTGGACTCTGTCGAAGAAGCAATCAGTCTTGTTAAGGATGCCCAGGCAGTCTGTGCCAAAGAAAAGTTAAGACTGCACAAATTCATCTCCAGCAGTCGGGAGGTGCTGGAGTCCATCTATCCTTCAGAACGTGCAGTCAGTGTGGGAAGACTGGATCTAAATTGTGCCAATCTGCCAGTTCAAGGTGCACTAGGGATAAGATGGAAAGTAGAGAGTGACACCTTCTTCTTCAAGACTGTCTTGGATGACAACCCAGTGACACAGAGAGGGATTCTTTCAGTAGTGGCCTCTGTGTATGACCCACCAGGGTTCTTAGCCCCATTCATCCTCCCAGGAAAGAAGGTGCTGCAAGAGATGCGCCAGAAGGGCATTGGCTGGGATGAGCCACTCCCAAGTGATCTGAAGCCAATGTGGGAGAGTTGGCTGAGTGACTTAAAAAATCTCGACAATGTTCAGATCCCAAGGTGCTTTGTGCCTAAAAACTTCGGCAAAGTCATAGAAATTGAAATGCATCATTTTTCCGACGCAAGCAGTCAAGGCTATAGCCAGTGCTCCTACATCAGACTCRTGGGTGAAGAAAGGGTGCATTGTGCACTGATCATTGGCAAAGCAAGAGTCGCTCCCACGAAAGTTGTCACCATACCAAGACTTGAGCTAACGGCAGCTGTGGTCTCAGCAGGAGTGAGCAGCATGATGAAAGACGAGCTGGAGCTCAAGATTGATAGAGAATACTATTGGACAGATTCCCAAGTAGTCCTTGGTTACATCAATAATGAGGCTCGGAGATTTCATGTCTTTGTCACCAACCGTGTCCAGAGGATCCGAGACCTAACTGACCCAAAACAGTGGAACTATGTCGACACAGAAGAGAACCCGGCAGATCATGCCTCAAGGGGCCTCACACTAGCAGAACTAGATAGGTCCAACTGGTTCTCAGGGCCTAAATTCCTTTGGGAAAGGGACATAGTCACCCACAAGAGAACCCCGGAGCTCCTAGTGGGAGACCCAGAGATCAAAACAACCCAAGTGCTAAGGAGTGAGGTGAAAATTCATGAGGATTTTGAACGTCTGTCAAGGATCTCAAGGTGGTCCACATTGATGAACATCACTGCACGCATCCAACGCCTCGTCACCAAAAACAAACGTCCCTTAAATGTAGAGGAGAGAAGAGCAGCCACACTCACTTGTGTAAAGCTGGCACAGCAAAAATCTTTTAGAGAAGAGTTGAACCTACTCAGTCAGAAGTCTGGAGTGCTATCATGCAACCATCAGCTAYACCAACTGGATCCCATTTTACATGATGGTGTGATGAGGGTGGGAGGAAGGCTGAGAAAGGCCTCTATGCCTCTAGATCTACGACACCCTGTGATCCTTCCAAAAGACAGCGTAATCACAAATCTCATTCTTGCACATCATCATGAAAAACACAACACCAAGGCAGAGGGCAAAAACTAAATGAGCTAAGAGCCTATGGTTATTGGATTGTTGGTGGAAGTAAGGCAGTAGCCCAGTACATACGGCAGTGTGTCACTTGCAAAAAGGCTTGTGGACCACCAGAAGAACAACGAATGGCAGATCTTCCAGATGACCGCATCGAATCTTCACCGCCATTCACCTAATGTGGCATGGACTGTTTTGGTCCATTCCATTTAAAACTGGGTCGCAAGGAACAGAAACGTTATGGTCTTCTCTTCACCTGTCTGTGTTCCAGAGCAGTTCACATCGAGATGCTGGAAGACATGACGACAGATACTTTCATCAATGCCTTACAATGTTTCATAGACATCCGAGGAGCTGTAAGACACATCAGATCAGATCAGGGATCGAACTTCGTTGGAGCCAGGAACAAAATGGAAAGAGCTCTGAAATAAGTCAACCAAGAGAGAGTAGCTGCCTTTCTTGCAGATAAGCAGTGTGACTTCCTTATGAACGTACCTGACGCAAATCACGTTGGAGGAGTATGGGAACGGCAGATCAGGACGGTGATAAGTGTTCTTACCTCAGTTCTAGCTCAGAGCACTGGGAGGCTGGATGACTCGTCCCTAAGGACATTTCTCTATGAAGCGATGTCCATTGTAAATAATTGACCCTTAACAATCAACACAATCAGTGATCCTAACAGCCTGGAGCCCTTAACACCCAACCATCTCCTAACTATGAAATCACCTGTTCCGCTGCCCCCACCTGGCAAGTTTGTTAAGGAAGATCTTTATACCAGGAAAAGATGGAGGCGAGTTCAATATCTTTCTGAGCAGTTTCGGAACAGATGGAGAAGAGAGTATCTTGCCAACATCACTCTCAGGCAAAGATGGTATGCCCCTCGACGTAATGTGCAAGCAAGAGACATTGTAATCCTTAAGGACGAAGTAGTCCCTCGCAACAGATGAAAGCTTGCCAAAGTTCTTCAAGCATGTGAAGATGATGATGGACTGGTCAGAAAGGCCATCATTCAAGTGGGAAAGAGGATTTTAGGAAAGAAGGGTGAACTCCTCAACAAGCTAACTATTTTAGAACGGTCTATCTAAAAGTTGGTTGTTATTGTAAGAAGCAGCTAAACTTGTGTTCAGTACATAACTGTCACTTATGACTCATGTAAGATGATCTTTGATGCTTTAGAAATTACCATTGATTATCAATACAAAGTGTTATGCATTGTGCTTTCCTTTGGTTATTAATAACAAGGTAATTTGGTGGGAGTGTAGCGGGCCTCACCCACAATTTGTTTACATGTTGCCATGGCAACCATGATTGGTGAGTTGCCGTTTTTCCATAGTATTTCTTTAGACATTTTTTGAATATGGCATTTGTTAGATATTGGCAATATGTTCTTAGAATTGTACGTTGTTTTATTTGAGAGAAGAAACGTGCTTTTATTATGAAACTGTAACCGCAAACCGGAAATGGGAACTGAAAGTAAAATAAGCGCCAAACAAAGACTGACGCGGATGAAGAAGGACGTTAAGAGGCTCCGTCGTTTTCTGCAGCTGGTTTACTGGTGAACATGGTAATATTGTTGATAAATGTAAAATTCTGATTTCTGCTGAGTTTTGTAAATTGTAGTACTATATGAAAGAGAGAAAAATAAGTCAGTATTTATGTATTTACAAAAGCTTGTGCTTAAATGTGTATTGTATTTTTTTTGTAATATTCACAGTGTTCTGTGTTCTTAAGTGGAATAAAGAAACTGGACATCAGTATGAATCGTGGATTTTTGAAATCAGTGCAGCTAAAATAAGGCTTACAATACATACAGTACCTTAACCTACACAAAAGGTGAAGACACTGTTCGGTCTTTTGCAAATACACTCAGCATTGGGCTGATGTTTCTTCTGACAGGAAACTTTTTCAGTGTTAAAGAAACTAGAACTTTATTTATGAAAGAAAATTGTAACAAAACAGACTTGAGATTAGAAAATATTGGAAATGATAATGTGAGGGTGATTAGAATATTAATACATCATCTTTACTCTTTTATCACATATTGTTTTATCATGTAATTTGAAAACTGCTTAACCTAGACCTGCTCTGTTTAAGTTGAATCAACATATTGTCATGAATAAATGTTTAAATTAGCCTGACAGCAGTTTGAAAGTTCATAGTCAGGATTTCATCTAAAGATCCTCTTGTTTCTTTTAACTTGTAGTTTATTTATTCACACACTTTTGCACTTACTGTGTAAAACATTTTTTTTTTACTTTATTTAAAGATATAAATAACTAAAATGAACTGTAACGTGTATATTTAAGACATGCAACTTAGAATGTTAAAAAAATTAATC